ATAATACAGACAGTGACTCATTATACTGCCTCCTCCAACTCCTGGCCTCAAGCAATCCTCCCACCTCAGCCTCCCAAAGTGCTGGAATTATAGGCTGACAGCTGCCATGCCTGAAAGCTTGGCAATTTACATCAAGGGTAATAAGAATGCTCACACCCTGTCACTCACAGTAATCTCACTTCCGGAAATATCATCTTTGGATATAATTCAACCTAAACAAAAGGTGATATGCACAAACAGTGAAAATCTGGGAGTAATTTTTTTCTCATTTTATGAAAAATATGGAATGTTTCACAAATTTGCATGTCATTCTTTCACAGAGGCCATGCCAAACTCTCTATTGTTCCAACTTAAGTACATGTGCCACTGAAGCAAGCATGAGTAATTTAATATAGAGTGGTTAAGTGAAATAAGGAAGAGATATGGGGAATTTAAAAAATCTGTGGTACTTACAGGCACCTAGTAACAGCTCAGCAAATTATTATTTTTATGGTAATTTCACTCAATTAAAAATTGTCATTAAAAATTACCATTGTCATGGAACATAATGTACCCCACAGTATAATTGTAAAAACAGATACAATTTGTCCCTTGGTATATGGGGGGATTAGTTCCAGCTACCCCATTTCTGTGTATACCAAAATCCATGCGTACTCAAGTTTTCGAAGTCAGTCCTGTGGAATCCAAATATTAAAAAAATGGGAAAATTAGTGAGGTGTGGTGACAAGCACCTGTAGTCCCAGTTACCTGTGAGGTTGAGGCAGGAGGACTGCTTGAGCCCAGGAGGTTGAAGCTGCAGTGAGCCATAATTGCACCACTGCAGTCCACTCTCGGCAACAGAGTGAGACAGAAGGTTGACTTTTTCATAGAATTTTTCTGTTCACTTGAAGATATGGTCAGGACTGTGGCATAGGAAAATTCTTCATAAAATAACTATCTAATCCAATTAATGCTGGAATTGGGGACAGAAAATGTTTCGGTGACTATTTATTCCTTCACTTGCTGTTATATAAACTATTGCCAGTAGGCATTTACCAACCAGAAGTGTCATCTCAGAGCTACTCACAATGAAAGGTGATGTCTGGGGCTCAGGTGTGTTGAGGTCCCCATGCCTTGGCTATGGGTGCTGAGTGGGACTTACTTGTCCATCCATTTTCTCTATTCCAGCACTGGGAAACTTGGGTTTATCCATCTTGATAAGATGTCATTGAAATTCCACTTGGCAAGAACCACAAATGGAAGAAAGGCCATGAAACCACAGGACAGTACTTGTTCTCAAGGGAATCTTTAGCTTAGGTGGCTCTGTAAAAGAGAAAGTATATTGTTGAAAAATCATTGCAGGTCAGGTGAGGTGGCTCATACCTATAATGCCAGCCACTGGGAGACAAAGGCAGGAGGATCCCGTGAGGCCAGGAGTTCAAGACCAGCCTGGGCAACACAGTGAAACCTCATCTCTACAAAAAATTA